TTTCCTTATTACAGCAATTTACTTTAAATTCCTCGGCAGCAACCCAGTCTTAGTTCGGCACGGATCCATGGCTTGGTACTATTTGGCAAAGCAATGCTTCTAGAATGCCACGAGGACCGCATTGCAGCTTCAAAGCGCAAAGCTCCATCCCTGAGCACTAAACCTGAATCCCTACCACACTCTAAACCCCAAACCCTATCCCCCACACTCTTTACTTTAAAAAATCTGAGCCTGCTAGAAAGCCCAGAATTGGAAAGCCCTCATGTGGCTTCGGGTTGTATATGTAGGCTTTAAAAGCGTTGTAGAAGGACTCCCCCACCGACTAATAGCGATTAAGATAATGGCCCTGTGAACAGTTCCCTCCTGACATGCAACCCCTTCCCAGGATCCTAGATGACTACTTTTACATGGGCCGGACTACTCTTGAAGGCGGCCAACAGGGTTTAGGGTTTAGGGTTTAGGGTTTAGGGAACAAGTACGCCCTACCTTGGTGTCTTAGTGATGAATGAGGTGGGCTGCTCTGCAGTAATCAGGGGGCCACTACAAGGAGTACGGGGACGGAACGTGGTCACTAATTCGTGGGAGAACTTTTCCTGTAAACTTCCTTGGATTATGTGTATCCCTACTTGGAAGCACCCCAAACCCTCTAACTCCTTGCAATCCCTACTTGTAATCACCTTGGAACCCCCAAACCCTAAACCCTAAACCACAAGAAAACCCTACTGTTGATACTACAATGCCTGCCTGGCCTTACTAGACTATAGTACTTTAATTCCCAAGAGACGGGGTGATTGGGGTCATGCAGGGTATCCACCCTATGGCCGAGGTGCTTCTTCTCATCCTTCTTGTCATCGGAGACCTTGGGTTGGGAGTTACGGATCATAAGGCCGACGCCCTGAAGGGTTGTTTAGGGGTTTAGGGTCTAGGGTTTATTAGGGTGGTTTCGGGTTTAGGGTGTAGGGTGAATCCCCATAGTTTTCCCCATGTGGAACTTGGCCTGGATAACTGTTTCCCACAAAGGGGGAAGTGTATATAGGGATCCCATAGTGCAGTAGGAACCCCACTATAGGGCCCCGTATTCTAGTGAAATTCAAGATATAATCCCCAGACAATCCTAGCTTCCATTTCGTTCTCCATTTTCTGTTCCATTTCATGCTCCATTCCCCTAAACCCCAAACCCTAAAGCCTGAGCCCTACTTAGAACATAAGCCCTGTATGATTACTATAGGGTTCCTTAGCATAGTGCCTATATTCCCTTCCATTCTTCGACACTAGCAAATTGAAGATTGAGGGCTTTGGGCCTCTGACGCACTCCAAGACAGACTAGGTTTTAGGGTTTTGGGGTTTGAGATTTGGGGTTTAGGGTTTGGCGTTTAGGGTTTGGGAGTTCAAGAATATGCGTACGCCTTGACTGTACAACAAGACACTGCGAATAGAATGTGTGTAAATGGCAGTTTGCAAAGTTTAGGAACCCCAAACAAACAAGAGCGAAGCATGGGCAATTGGAAGTCGGGTTATACATGCCCTACCTGAGCAACAGCTATCCTAACTCTATAACCTTCGTTATACCTACCCCTAAACCCTCAAGTGCGCAGGACCTGATAGAGACTTTGGGTGCAGGATTTAGGGTTAGGGTTGAGGGCTTCGGGTTAGACCTTCGAGGATGTTGGCCAACACAAAAGCCGAAGCCTTAAACTGGAAACTGAAACTGAACCTGTTCCAGGCGTTGGGTTTAGGATTTGAAGCTTAGGGTGAAGAGTTGAGAGGTTAGGTGTTTGGCCCCCAAACTCGGGCAGCAAGAAATCAATTATGAGGAGCTGTGTTTGGCAAAGTCAGGGGTTCAGGGTTTAGGGTTTAAGGCTTAGGGTACCCTAATCTTTTTAATCCGTTTCCCTAAACCCTAAACCTGTGCCCCTCAACCACAAAAGCCCCGATCCTAAAGCCTGCCCAGTGTCAGAGTGCATCTTAGCAAAATCTTCCAAATGACTCCCATACCCAAAAACCCAAAACATCGGAGTATGTAGGTGGTCTAGGGTTTAGGCCTTTCAGCGTTTATGGTGTATGGTGTATAACCGCGTATGCTTTGTTGGTGCTTGGGCTCATTTCTTCGAAAAGCTTGGTGTCCTAAACCCTAAACTGCGCGGTACGATATCTTTATGCCTGGCCCTGCCCCACCAAAAAACTGACAACTGCTCTGTCAGAAGACATCCCAACCCTAACCCCTAAACAGTCAGTGAGCTATAGTATGAACTCTTTAAAGGGGGTCATATAGGGGATTATAGGGGAGTACTGTAGGGCTTATTCAGGGGGATACCAGGAATTTAGACTATGGCCCGAATGAACTAATTACTACAGCTATAGTGAACAACCAGGGCTTCCATTCAGCATCTGACTAAACAAAGGACGCTCCAACGTACTTCCCCTTAGGCTTGGCGTGAATTTTAGGTTAGCATTCTTGTTTGAACCTTGGAACAGTAGTGGGTTAAAGGTTTAGTTTAAGGTTCAGTAACATCCCTCGCACCCTTTCTGATGCAAGCCGAAGCTAAGGAAGTCCGTTCTCAACCTCAACCTCAAGGAAGTCCACTCAGTACACGACGCACAGCATTACGATTCATCCACATCGATCAGAGTATTAGGACCCTCATCATTGCACTCCACCCCTCTCGCATCACCACAGCCAATTTCCACCACACCGGACAAAGCAGGAAGCCCAGCACGTCATTCGGCATTTCCAGAAGGACACCGGACGGACCCACACCAGGATTCTCTACATTCACATGCCCTCCACCAGCAGAAGGAAGCCCCGCATCAGGAAGGCCGGGGACTTGCACTGGATCAACTTCATCTGCAACCGTCGCACATTCCAAGCCCAGGGACCCAGCAACACCAGAAGCTTCGTCAACAGAGCCACTAGCACCACACACTGGGACCGCCGCAATGGAGTCCTTGCCAACGCTATCAGACATGCAGACACCTCGCCAGAACCAGCAGCCACATCCATTGTACCTTCAGCAACACGAGGTTCGCCTCCAGGAAAACGTCGGTTGGCAGGACGCTGTAGGCCACTATCCAGTCGGCCAGAGATGTTTGCGTCGATCGGCTCATCCGCATTCTCGGGCTCGGGGGCTGATCCATGGCTTCGCGAAGGGCCCAATCATCCCAGTTTTGAGCAGCTCTCGCAGCACGGCTACGTCTCGTTGTCTTCGGGCCTGGTGTTTCTTCATGTCACTCCACATTTTGTGCTGCAAGGCCATCAGTTCTTGGACAAATTGTGTCTCCGCTTCCATTCTCTCCCAGCATTGGAGGTCACCATCTTGTGACTCTTCAACCACCACCACGGGATCAGCCATCACAGCAAGCAACCTCGGTCCATGCCATGATTCTCCTCTGCCATGAGTCCACCCATTCATCAACAGCATCTGGTACATGTTCTTCCCCTTATGACCAACCACGGAGTCGATCGCAGGCATGACCACTGCACTGCACATTTGGACAATATACAAGACCGAGGTGGGCTGAGAACCAGTAAGGGTCATCAGGTCTCAGCCACTCATCCAGCCGCCCAGAAACCTCCATGAAGATCAGACTGAAGTTGGATGTCCCGCTGCAACATCTTGGCAAGCAAGTATCTGTCTGAGTGGTGGTAGGCGAGATCCTCCGGGAGCTGAAACAAGTGGGAGTCATGGCCTCTTTGCATCAGAACCACCACTTCCAACTCCTCAGGTCGAACTCTCTTGCGGCTCATATACCTGACTTTGTTTCTGACCATTTTCCAAAGGAGCGACCACCACTTCGGCGCTGGGCCAGGCTTCCATTTCACATACATAGACCTGAGCTCCTCAATGGCTTTCTTCGCGAAGGCTCGCAGGCCAGGCAGTTTGCTGCCCAGGGCACGCAGCAGACATTGCTTGATCCCCATGGGAGCCGGCTCCATCATGTCCGGCCGGATTTTACCCACAATCTCCCGCAGGAAGGATTCCGACTGCTCGGCGTCAAGCATACCACATTGTTTGCCATCAGCGACTTCCGTTTGCATCAGTGCATGGGCGTCATCATCCTCACCGTCATCCTCAGGCCATGCATTCGTGTCATTCTCATCACTTTCTTCGCTGGCATGCGAGCGGCGCCCATGCTCACGGTTTGTATTGCGACCATCGTCTTCTTGTGCCGGTAAAGGATGTCCTCGTCCTCGCCCATGTTGCCTGCAAGGGGGAACTCCTCCAAGTAGTGGTCGAGGAAGGTCCCCAACAGCAGCACCAGCACGACGCCGTCGAGGAGGCAGCCCAGAACTGGCACTACGACGCATGTCACCAGCATTCTCGGGCACATGTGCAGCTTCCGCCATGTCATCGGTCACTTCCACTTCAACGGCCTCCATGTCGGACGGTACATCCTCATCAACCTCCGGGACAGGGTCAAAGGGCGCAAGCTGGTGCGCTCAACCAAGTCAATGGCAATAACCTCCAGGAGCGTGCTCAAGTCCGGGAACATGTGGGCGAAACATTGAAGGGTGGCACTAAGTGTAAGTGCCACACCAAGCGCTCCGTCGTCCCAGATGGCATGCTCAAATGGTTGGAGTTCTCGGTTGGCAAAGCCCAATTCGCGGGGATGGACCGGTCTGCGCTTGAAGACATCACGCACATAACTTGCAAACGATGCCCTGGGTCCACGGCATCCTTTTGGGTAGAGCGTGCGTTTCTCCGCTAAACGTTGCTTGATTGTCCTCCGACGGGCAATATGCCTTCTTCTCCTTTTTGCAGTCCCCCGAGGTTGGTTTTGCTTCCTGGGCGACCTCGCCCTGGATCTACCAGAGGCTCCACCGTCTTCTCGTCCGCGCTTCCGAGGCACTTCGGCTAGTTTAGGGTTCAGGGTTTAGGGTGTACATAAGACATGCTGAGAGATTTTCGGGCATAGCTCAATTTACGAATTGGGCTCATCTTGCTGTATGCTCTGCAGACTCCTAAGGTTTAGGGTTTAGGACCATGCATCAGTCAAGCTGCCGCCACAGTAGTTGTTCCTCTGCAGGCAGAAAATAGAAAAACAAATTGGGGACGATTTCAGGCCGGGAGATTTACGTAGGTATAGGGCTTGGGACATAATTACCTCCCCCGAATGTTAAACCCCCCCACCTCCCCTAATCTTAAATACTCCCATTATAATATAGTGTACCACATAATGCGAGTGCTTACTATTAGAGGGAGGGGATTACCGTTGATCCCAGCAATCCTGCATGACCTTAGTATACTGCAGCACCATATTCCAGAGGTTCAGAGTACATTGGGTCATGCAGGACTTTCAGTGGTTTAGGGCTTAGAGTTGCAAATCAATTTCGGCATGTGTGAGGCCTTCTGGTCTGGACCAGCGAGTTCCGGTGCCCATAGGATTATAGGGCACAGAACCGAAACAACGAAAATGGACGTTGCTGCAACTCAAGGTTAGCCCCATGGAGCCCCCCTAAACCCTAAACCCTAAACCCTAAATCCCTAAACCCTAAATCCCTAAACCCTAAACCCTAAATCCCTAAGCCTTCGAACCCCCTATGAAAGCCATACCTCCACCCCAAAATATGTAGAATTGTGGCTCCAAACCCCTAAAAACCAACCCAAAAGACAATTGCTGTACATACTTCATAGGTTCAGGTATACCCCCAAAAGCATAGAAGACGTACCCAAAACCCTAAATCCTTGAAGATCCTGGTATCATACGGGGTATGTTCCTTCACTAGGGACGTATGGGGGCACTCTGGGCGACAAGTATGGATACATGCATGGCACAAAGTCTGAATGAAGTCCTGCAGACGACGTCGTGGTGATGTCGGGGGCTGTGTGGGTAACCACAGTAGCCTGCCATCAGCACATGGGACTTGAAAACCCTCTAACGGATACAGAGGTACATTTTGGATTATCTAAAATTCTATGAAAAGCATCGGGAGTTCACAAAGACCCTAACTGGACCTCCTTTTGAGTCTCTTCCCAAGATACTGGGTTGGCCCCTAAAACCCTTTGAAAAATTTTAGTATATAGGGTCCCTTATTAAAGCCATTAGGGAAAATTTTAAATATGCCAGGGGCCTACCGGTCTATATTGGGGTCCCCCTATTTTGGGAAATTACCATTTCAAGGTTCGCAAGAAGACTTGGGGATGACACAGAAGACCAGTCCACAGCACAGCTAAGGGGTCCAAAACATGGAGACCTACCCTGATGCCTAAATGGCAATTCCACAACATTGACGGAAGATCAAAGTGAACATCTAAGGGAAATGAAATGTAAACTGGGGTAGTACTTATAGTCCACCTTAAGTAGATAGAATATAGCTTTGGGTTCATCATATTCTATCTACTTAAAGGGGGACTATACATAGGGATCTATAAATGGCAACCCCAACCCCCCAAAGTAGATTTCAGGCCCGTTGTAGGTTCCATATGTTGTCCATTTTCTAGTAACCCTACAGTAACAATCATAACTTGTATATAATCACTATAGCTGCTTTAAGTAGGTCCCTGAACCCTAAACCCTGAACCCAAACCGCAGCACTAGTGCCTGGGTCTGGAGCCCGGTGCCGGTGTAGGCTGTTGTTGCTGCGTGTGGCTGCTGCTGCTGCTGCCTGGTAAAGCAGGTGAAGTGGGTTTATAGTATAGGGTCTAGGGTTTAGGATTCAGGGTTACTAGTTGAGGATTTCAAGGTTTAGAGTTTAGGGCCTGTTGTTTGGAATAAGGTTGTCAGGGTATAGTATACTACATCATGAGTCTACTAGAACACGTTTTGACGGGAATAAGGTTGGCAATTACTCAAGCTTCTACAGTATTCACGTGAGCAATCAGGAGGTGTAGGGATTACTTGGTGATTATTGCAAAGGGATTATCTATAGGGATTGCTTTGAGGGCCCACGTGAATCGGCTTTTGTGTGAGTCTAGAGTTTTGGGTCCATCTCATCCGTTTGCCCCACCCCGGTTCGGTCACCAGACCCTCCACGCCCAAACCATAGTAGCGTCCGAGCTGCACCTGCAAACCGTGACCAGAACACCAGTGCCCGAACCATGATGGCATCCATGCCCCAACTACATTCTGTTACCAGAGCATCCATGCCAAAACCATAACAATGCCACCGCCGACGCCACGGCCACCACCGCCGCCGCCGCCACCACCATGGCTGCTGCTGCTGCTGCTTCTCCTCCTCCTCTTCTTGAGTATCCCTGCACAAGTCCAAGAAGGCTTGTAACCCTACACCTAGCAAGCAATCCCTGCAATCCCTACAAATCCCTTTGCCATCCCAATACAGCAGCCCTGACAACCCTCCTTGTATTTGAAACCACCAAACTCCAAGAATGATGTAGCTACATGCATTCCAACTTCCTTACTATAAGAACACCTACCAGAAAATGCTTGGGTGTCAATGTTTCCTGGTCCCCCTAGCCGTGTATGTAGAGGTTCCCGCGATCTGGGAACTACTGCAGTTGGGTTCTAACCATACTTATACTCGGGATAACCTATGCTTGTCCAGGTGGCGGCATTATGAGTAGGGCTATAAGCGTATTTAGTTATAGGCAGAATCTCTACGACGGGATGACTTGATATGAGTAGGGTGAAGGGAATTCATGTCTGGCCGGGAAATGAGATTTGCAAGATTCATTCAAAAAACTTCACATAGTCTGTCAGGGGACAGCCCTGCAATCTCCTCATGATTCCTCTAAAACCCCTGAAGCTAGTCCCAACTTCTAACGGTCCTAATTTTAGAAACATGGCCAAGTTTACACCAAGTTGCACCACCTGCGCTGGCACCATCTGCGGCGCAAATTGCTGCGGCGTGCCCGGCTGCAGAGGCTGAACAGGTGCACCCACACCCTGCGGTGGCTGCTGGTAGTACATCTGAGTCGGCGGGGGCTGCCCTGCAGTCCCCGGAGGTATGTAGGTGTTCTGCTGAAGCACGCCCTGCTGTGGCATGCCCTGCAGAGGAATGCCTTGCTGAGGAACGCCCTGTGGTGGAACGCCCTGTGGCAGGCCCTGCTGCAGCTCTGCTGGGGCAAGCTGGTTGTGTACCTCAGCTTGCAACATGCAGGTTCGACTCAGGCTAAGAGAGTTGGAGCATGGCTTCTGTGTAGGTTTAGAAAGTTTAGGGGTTTAGGGTGTTCGTGTTTACACACAACAGCGTGTGAGAAGATGTTGAGTATGGTTCTGTTTTGATGGTCGTTGAATGCTCACTCCCGACATGCATGCTGTGAAATGCCTAGAGCTGAAACAGCTTTTGCTGCCTTTCCAGGTCTGCAGGACGGCATACAACCTCCCCGCAATTGGTAGAAAACATGCTACACCAACATGCATAGCAACTAGGCTGAACATGACGAAGGTGCCATCACAAACAGCGGACGGGATCTCTCCTGCATACCCCCAAAGCTCAACAACCCTAAACCCTAAACCCTGAAGCTCAACAACCCTAAGCCCTAAAAACCCCAAACCCCAAACC